CACTTAAAATTGATTTAATGAAAGCCTTTGATTCAGTTGACTGGCTCTTCATTTTCAAAGTATTGAAGCATATGGGGTTTCCAGAATAATTCATTAGTTGGATTATGATGTGTGTGAGTACTCATATGCTAAGTGTGGGGCTCAATGGAGGGTTAATGGGTTATTTCCCTGCTTGTAAAGGGTTCAGACAAGGTTGTCCTCTCTCCCCGTACCTGTTTGTGATTGCCATGGAGATTCTTTCCTGTATGCTTGATAAAGAGGCACAGAAGGGTTTTTTCCCTTTCCATCCAATGTGTAAGAGGATTGGTATAACTCACCTATGCTTTGCTGATGATCTCCTTGTCTTCTCTGATGGTTCAAACTATGGTTTTCAAAGATTGATATAGATCCTTGCTCGGTTTAGAAACCTTTCTGGTTTGCAAGTTAACCCAAGTAAATGTGAACTATTCTTTGGGGGCTGCCTGGTCATGAACAGAAAGTGAGGGCTGCTAGATATGGGTTTGCATTGGGAATGTTCCCTGTCAGGTATCTTGGGGTTCCCATTTCCTCGGGGAAGCTCACTATTTCAGCATGTAAACCTTTAATAGATAAGATTGCTGCTTGGATAAATAGATGGAAGTCTCGATTTCTATCATATGCTGGTTGGGTTGAGCTTGTTAGCTCAGTTTTGTATAGCTTGCATCAGTATTTGATGGATGTTTTTATTCTTCCAAAGGCAGTGATTCGAGAAGTGGAAGATATATGTAGCAACTTCTTATGGGGTGTTGGACAGGAGGCAGAATGAAAGCAAAGATAGGCTGGAAGCATATCACTTTCCCCCAAGCAGGAGGGGGGCTGGGTTTGCGAGATTTGGAAACTTGGAACATTGCTTGTGTCACTCGACATATCTGGCTTTTGTTGATTCAACATGGTTCTTTGTGGGTTGCATGGATCAGTGTTTACAAACTGAAAGGCCAAGACTTTTGGCTTTATGTTGGTAACTCTGGTTCATGGAACTGGAAACGTATTCTGAAAACGAGGCTGAAAGTATGTGATTTCTTCCATCAGCAAGGGCGGAATGTTTAATGGGACCAGGAACGAATGGAGACTTTTTCCATTAGGAGAATCTGGGAGACTCTCAGGCCGAAAAGGCAGAAAGTAGCATGGTCTAAACTTTTATGGAAGGTAGCTCCATTCCTCGAAACAGGTTTATTGCTTGGTTGATTATAATTAGAGCGGTAACTACTAAAGAATAGATGCTAAAATGGGGATTTGATGGTAGTTTGGGATGTGTGTATTGTAATTGTTCGCTGGAAACTACTGATCATTTATTTGCAGCGTGCCCGATGTATAGGAAAATGGCTTGCAAGCTGTTTGGAAGAGGTTCAGGGGTGTTTACCTATTTGGGAAACGAGCTTGCTTGGTTGCAACATTGTTTTGGTTCTCACACAGTGAAGTCCCAGGTTGGGAGAGCTATATGGCAAAGTTTGGTGAGTGTGTTATGGAGAGAAAGGTGCACAGAGTTTATGGGCTTGGGATAGGGTGAGTAACCCTTTGTTACTCACCCGTGAGTAACCACCTAGGGACCGTCGATCTTGGCCGGACGGATCTTGTGGCTGTGATTGATGCGGTGATTTTTGTCCACGGTCAGGGGCATTTTTGTCCGATATTTCATATTTGAATTAAATGACTTTCCCTCTTTGTCCGTTGCGAATCTTTCTGTGCGTGAGTTGGATTCGGATTTTGGAGAGAGAAACTACGAGCAGGGGGAGCAGCAGCTGAGAAACAAGGACGGCGATTCTCCATGGTTGATCGACGGCGATAGAAACTGCGAGCAGCAGCTTCGAATCGAGCTTTCTGATTCTCCATAATTGATCGACGTGTGCGCGAGTTGGATTCGGTTTTTGTAGAGAGAAACTGCGAGCAGCCGCTGCGAAACAGGGGACGGCGAATCTTTTCTGATTCTTCATAATTGATCGACGACGAGGTTAGATATTAGTTTTTTTGATTCTTTCTGTTTAGCTAACCAAGTTTTCTGTTGATCTCTGGTTTCGTTGGAGGTTTTTCATTGCTGCTAGTCGAGCTTGTTTATGTTTAGCTAATCGAGCTTGTTCATGTGTTATGTTCTTTGTGTTTTGGTGTTTTTGCAGTATTCTGGTGAGATGAGTTACGTAAATTGTGGCGATGTTGTTCCAATTGATAGATCTGGTTCTTCAACCAGCGTTGTAGGATCTGGTTCTTCATCTAGTGCTGTAGGAACTGCTTCTTCATCTATTGATCTTGGATTTGATCATTCAGCTAACTCTGGTGAATCAGGAGGTAAGATATACAAATTTGTTTGTTTATTGAAGTTTGTATAGTGTCGTAATTTGATTTTACCATGCCTTATCATGTGGTAATTGATTTTATAGTACATTACCATGTGGTAAAATGTGGTAATTAGGAAGTTAAATGTGATGTTTCTGTGTGATAATTGATTTTACCATGCCATGCCATATCATATGGTATAGTTTGGTAATTTGATTTTACCATGCCTTATCATGTGGTAATTGATTTTACAGTACATTACCATGTGGTAAAATGTGGTAATTAGGAAGTTAAATGTGAGGATTCTGTGTGATAATTGATTTTACCATGCCATACCATATGGTATAGTGTGGTAATTTGATTTTACCATGCCATACCATGTGGTATAGTGTGGTAGTTTGATTTTACCATGCCATACCATATGGTATAGGGTGGTAATTTGATTTTGCCATGCCTTATCATGTGGTAATTGATTTTACAGTACATTACCATGTGGTAAAATATGGTAATTAGGAAGTTAAATGTGAGGGTTCTGTGTGATAATTGATTTTACCATGCCATACCATATGATATAGTGTGGTAGTTTGATTTTACCATGCCATACCATATGGTATAGTGTGGTAATTTGATTTTACCTTGCCATACCATGTGGTATAGTGTTGTAGTTTGATTTTACCATGCCATACCATGGTGGTAACTCTTGTATCATGGCTGTAATTATTGGTATACATTGAGATTTCATACTGTTGTGGTGTGGAATCCATTTAATATGTTGTTTCATAATGTTTGTAGGTTTCAATGGTATAGATCCTACTGTTCGTGATTCTTGGAAGGACTTAGAGTTCAATACACCAGATGATGCATATAATTTTTATGTTGATTATGGGAATCATGAAGGTTTTGGTGTGAGGATTTATAACCAATCAGCGTGTCCGAAGCTCAATGGTGGTTCTTCAGCTGTATATTATATCAAGTATTGTTGCAATAAGGAAGGTTGGAAAAGAGGTAGCGAGAATAACCCTGATAATGCAGGTGTTGTTGATACGACGGTTCGTGTTCGTAATGTTCCAGAACTCAGGGGTGGATGTAATGGTGCTTATATACGACTGAGGTGGTTTAAAGAGTTTAAATGCTACAAGATCTATCGTTGGTATAATGTGCACAACCATGATATGATTCCTGAGTCTCTGCGTCACTATGTGAGATCCAGCAGACGAATGGCTCCTGTGTATAAGATGTTGGCAGAGGTGAATGATGTTGCTGGTATTGGTGTGACTTCTTCGTATAATGCAATTAGTAGGGCTGGTGGTGGTCGGAAGTTTGTTGGGTTCACAAAGAATGATTTGAAGAACCATCTGCGAACGGTTAGGACGTCATCAATGGAGTATGGTGATGCGACTGCATTGCTTGAATACTTTAGACGTCAAGCACAGCTGGATCCTGGGTTCTTTCATGAGGTGGAGGTTGATGTTGAAGAGAACATTGCTAGTATTTTTTGGGCAGATGGGAAGATGAGGATGGATTATCATTATTTTGGTGATTCAATTAGTTTTGATACTACTTACCGGACTAACAAAGAGTATCGGCCACTAGGTATGTTTTCTAGTTTGTTGTTTATTATTGTCTTTGTTAGTTTGTATGATTATTATTATTATCATTCTGTATCATGTTTTTTTTTTTTCTTAAAAGTATTTTACCATATGGTATGGGTTGGTAACAAGGTTATTTGTGGTGGTTTTTGCGTTGTTAGAAGTGTGTACTATATGGTAGTCTGGTGTGGATTGTTTTTTTTTGTTCTTAGAAGTCTTTACCACATGGTATGAGTCTTTACCATATGGTATGGGTTGGTATTATTGTTATTCGTACCTTTTACCACATGGTATGTGTTGGTAGAATTGTTTTTACTCACATTTTGTTATGTTTTTGTAGCTTTGTTTGTTGGTTTCAACAATCATCACCAACTGACTGTCTTTGCGGCTGCTCTTCTATATGATGAAACAACGGCAACATTTGAATGGCTTTTCGATCAGTTTTTGAAATGCATGGGAGGTGTGAGACCGTTATCAATGTTTACTGACCAGGCTGCTGCAATTGCTGCTGGTATAAGGTCTGTTTTCCCAGATTGTTTTCATGGGTTGTGTACATGGCATATTGCTCAGAATGCAGTTGTTAATCTGGGAAGTTTGTGTGACTCTGACTTCCTTCGTGAGCTTAGTTATTTGATGTATAATGCTGATGATGAGGATGATTTTGAGTATAATTGGAAGAAGATGATTGAGAAGTGTTTTCCTGGGAAGGGACCTTTGGGACACAGTTGGTTACAGGGCATTTACAAAGTCAGGACGAAGTGGTCTTCAGCCTGGGTGAATTGTCATTTTGGTGCGGGAATGAAGAGTACCCAGCTAAGTGAGTGCTGCAATAGTAATATTCGACATTACTTGCAGTCAGAGTTTAGCGTTAGTAGGTTCTTTGTGCACTTTGAGAGGATGCTTGATAATAAGAGGGATGCTGAAGAACAAAAAGAGTACTATGCCTTATCTAGGTTGGCTGATTCTCGGTTTTCTACTAGCCCTATTGTGAAGCAAGTTGCTAATGTGTATACGCCGAAGATATTCAAGTTTTTCCTGGATCAGTACAAGGAATCCCTTGCGTATAATATTTTTTCCAATACGGAGATAGAACCAGAAGGACATGTAGGACTGTTTGATATCTTCATATTGGAGGATGACCTTACAAGGTTGGATAGTAGGGTGTTGAAGGTTGATTTTGAAAACGGTGAAATCAAGTGTTCCTGCCGTAAGTGGGAGTCAAGTGGTATGATCTGTAAGCATCAAATTAAGGGATATGATATGTTGTGGTCTACAACATGCAATCTGAAGTTCCAGCACATTCCTAGCAGTTTGATTTTGAAGCGGTGGACAAGGGCAGCGAAAACTGGAGGGAACTTTTCTTTTGAAGTTCCGTCTACTGATAGTCCATCGAAATACCGTTCTCGTCTTTTCAATCTGTCAGCTGTTTCTGCATCAATGATCAGCAGGGTTGCATTGGATGATGATTTGTATAAATCAGCCATTGTCTTCATGACTGATTTGATCAAAAAGTGTGAAGCCCTATCGATTACTGAACCTGCTGGAACAAGCACGTCTTCTAACGGTGACAGTAAGTTTTTTTAATTGTTTAGAGTTTGTTTTTGTTATCTGTCATTGATTGTAGTTTGTTTTTGTTATCTTGGTATAGATGATGTACCGGTCCAAAAAGTGAAGGGGTTTAAGCCTAAAAAAGATTCATTCAAGCCTTCGAAACGACCAATTCCAGTTGCGGAGGTTGCAAGGGCTGTAAGTAAGAAGAAGAGAAAAACTAGCAGGCTTGAGGAGGAGAATTTGAAGGCTGTTGAAGAAAGTTTAAGGCTGAAGCTGTAATAGTTTTCTTAGAGGATTATCTGAATGAATGGTTGATGCTGGTTGAGTTGTTGAAGCTATTTTGTTCTTTTGGATTGGTTTTTGGTTTTGTTGGATTAATTTTACAATGTTATACCATGTGGTATAATGTGGTAATTTGATTTTATCATGTCAAACCAGGTGGTAAAATGTGCTAGTTTGGAAGTTGAATGTGAAGGTTCTGTTTTATAATTGATTTTACCATGCCATACCATATGGTATAGTGTGGTAATTTGATTTTACCATGTGGTAATGTGTGGTAATTGATTTTACCATGTGGTAAAATATGATATTTTGGAAGTGGCATGTGTGGTAATTGATTTTACAGTAAATTACCATGTGGTAAAATGTGGTAATTTGGAAGTTAAATGTGAGGGTTCTGTGTGATAATTGATTTTACCATGCCATACCATATGGTATAGTGTGGTAATTTGATTTTACCATGCCATAGCATATGGTATAGTGTTGTAATTTATTTTTACCATGCCATACCATGTGGTAAAATATGGTATTTTGGAAGTGGTATGTGTGGTAATTGATTTTACAGTGCATTACCATGTGGTAAAATGTGGTAACAAACTAAAACACAGCAGGACTTATGGTTTTGTTTGCTATTTTACAACATGAAACCATAGTTTACCACACATTACCATATGGTAACAAACTAAAACACAGCAGGACTTATGGTTTTTTGCTATTTTACAACATTTTACAACATGAAACCATAGTTTACCACACATTACCATATGGTAACAAACTAAAACACAGCAGGACTTATGTTTTTTTGCTTGTTTACAACATGAAACCATAATTTACCATACATTACCATATGGTAACAAACTAAAAGACAGCAGGACTTATGGTTTTTTGCTATTTTACAACATGCAATCATAATTTACCACACATTACCATATGGTAACGAAGCAAAACACAGCATGACTTATGATTTTTTGTTATTTTACAACATGCAATCATAATTTACCACACATTACCATATGGTAAAATGTGGTAATTTGGGAATTAAGAACACATGTTAAGTATTTGCTAACATAATAAAAAAACAGAACATTTCTTTTAGTCATAATACAAACCATAATAAGTTGTTTCATACCATCCTACTAATTAAAATGAAGTGGCTACTGAACATTGTGAGTTTGTTCTCAAAAGCTTACTTATACCCTCCTACTATTTAACACAAACGATAATAGAATTTTCATCTCCTTCCTTTCAACTCTTTCTTCTTGTTCTTCATGTTGCAGTACTTTGTTGCTTCTTTCATGATCCTTTCCCGTTCAAGATTTTCTTCATCAAGAATGATGTCCAACATCAGGCACTCCCTTTCTTCATTTATGAGATCATTCCTCTTCCAATCTTTGGTCAGGGCACTGTTGTACTTACCTTCCCAGTGTCTCATCCACCTGATGACGTACATCCCACATGAAATTTGATCTGGTTGTGTAACCTTCTCGAGCTTGAACCGGGTAAACCTCTCCCACCTTACTGTCTTGTCTGCAAACTGTGTCTTCATGTAGTTGATTGCGTACTGGACAACCCTCTCTCTGCCATTGGTTTGTAGTTTTTTTCAAAATCTTTGTGACGGAGACTGTCGAGCACTTCAAATCTCTCTGCTTTGATGTTGACACAAATCATGATGTAGTGCTTGTTATTACAGTAAGGGAAGAACCACTGCAAAATAATTTTACCACAGTATACCATATGGTAAGCAGTTGCCATATAAGTGATGAACAGTAAGTTAAGAACCATTGCAAACTAATTTTACCACTATATACCATATGGTAACCACTGCAAAAATTGTGGTGAGATACTTACAAGGTTACATTCTGTGAAGCTGAGGTTTTTTGCCCATTCTTTGTTGGTGATGTCCAAGTCCACTTTGTTGTAGTAATCGTCTGGAGATAGTACAGGATTGCCACTATCAATGTCCAGTTGGCAGTCACCCTGAAAGTTGTGGTTGTTATTATGTGTTTTATATATGTGTTGTCTAAGAACTATTGACAGAATATGGGTGGGTTTACTTACTGCCAAAGATGTATCGAAGAACCACCTTTTGAATTTTCCTTTTTTTTGCTTCATTCCTGTTCATTACATCTCCATACCAGTCGATGACATCAGATGTGATTTCACAGCCAATTTCAATCGACTGTACTGACTCCCTTTTCAGCAAGAATGTTCCATCCTTCCTTTTAAACATTATCTCATCACTGTATAAAAGCACATCACAACAGGACGGATGGTTTACTTTAATTTATGACATCAAACAATAGGTTATCACAACAAAACCATAGCTTACCACATCTTACCATATGGTAATAAGTAAAATAGAACAGGAGTTATGGTTTAATCCATTCTTTAACAACAAACCTTAGCTTACCACATCATACCATATGGTATTAAACTAAAACAAAACAGGACTTGTGGATTACTACATTTTGTAACATTAAACCATAGATTTATCTAATTTTACCATATCTTACCATATTTTACCATATGGTAACAAACTAGATCACTACAGTAACATCATATAACAGTAGAAGTTTTAAGATGATGACTTACCTCTTGGCAAATTTCTTGTTTTTGCATCTTATGTACTCCAGGATGTTGCTGAACATATCATCAGGTGTTGTTTGTGTTGGTGTTGACCATTCAACTGGTGATTTTTGTGACTGTGGAGCAACTGGTTCGACAGCTGGAGAATTCAGGTCCTCTAGGTAAGCATCTATGCATTCACGGACTTCCTTGAGCTTCTCTTGGCTGTTTGTGTACAGATTTGACCATATAGCATATGACTCCGTCTGTGACTGGGTGCTTTGTGGCTGTTCTGGTGGTGGTGTTGCTCTTGCCTTCTTTTCATTTCCGTGCACATTCTTTATCACGATTCTTCTTTTGCGAGGCTCTCCTGGTTGATCGGTTGCCGTGTTGGTAGTCAACTTTGTTGGTGTTGTTGGTGTTTGACGGTTGAGAGGGCTGAGATCAAAGGATGGAATGTCGTCTTCCCTTGTCACTTTAGGCTTCTCAGCAGCTTCGATTGTCAGTTTTGGAGCCTCTTCACGAACAACATCATCTGACACCGTTTTCTCGCTGTCAGTTTCTGCAGTCTTTTGTGCAGCTTGCCCTGTATTCCCTTCTTCTGTTGTTTCCTTATCAACTTCCATTGGATCTGCTGTTTTGGTAGCTCCTTTTTCTTCGGTTTCTTCTGCAGATGTCTGTTCTGGAACTGCTTTCTGGGTGTCCTCTTGTTGTGGTGTTCCCTGATTCAGACCTTCTTGAACAGATTGTTCTGGTGGTTCTGTTGCAACTTCCCCCAGTGGATCTCCTTCTTTTGGGATGCTTTCCCTATTCACAGCTCCTGGAGCAGAATCATCTTGCTCCTTTTCTTTTGGCTTCGGTGTAGATGCAGCAAGATCGACTGTAGATGGTTGTGAATCATCTTCTTTCTGTGTTTGCTCCTCGTTCTCCTCTTCGTTCTGGTCTATGTTTGTCTGTTTGAATATTTCATTGAGTGTTTTATTCAAACTGGCATGCATTTCTTCATCATTCTCTTCTTCATCATCTTCACACTGAGATTTTTCTCCTTCTGTGGGCTGAACATATTCATCACAGCTTTATTTCGCAAGATTCTCCTTGTGTCTGATCAAATTGTCAATTTGGCTTTTGTACTGGTCTTTTATTGCTTTCATCATTGCCTTCATTGATGCTTCAAGCAGTTTGATTGCATTCTCAGCCTGCATAATGGGAGTATGGTTAGTTACCATGGTGGTAATACATGGTATTGGCAATTATTATCACTATTCTGCATTTTTATAACATGAAACTATATCTTACCACACTTTACCATATGGTAACAAAGTAAAACATAACAAGAATTATGGTTTCCTCCATTTTTATAACATGAAACCATTGCTTACCACACATTACCATATGGTAACGTATTAAAACACAACATGACTTATGTTTTCCTCCATTTTTATAACATGAAACCATAGCTTACCACACCTTACCATATGGTAACAAACTAAAACACAGCAGGACTTGTTGTTTTTTGCTATTTTTAAAACATGAAAGCATAGCTTACCACACATTACCATATGGTAACAAAGTAAAACAGAACAAGAATTATGGTTTCCTCCATTTTTATAACATGAAACCATTGCTTACCACACATTACCATATGGTAACGAAGTAAACCACAACATGACTTATGTTTTGCTCCATTTTTATAACATGAAACCATAGCTTACCACACTTTACCATATGGTAACAAACTAAAACACAGAAGGACTTACGCTTAGCATGAATTGGACAACTGTAATATAGATAATTTGAATTGGACAACTGTAATATAGATAATTTGTACTTACTTGGTTGACTGTTCTGATATTCTTCAAATCAAAGTTCAGTGATGATGACTGCTCTGGACTTTTGTTTCTTTGTCTTTTCGGTGATTCATAGACTGGCTCATTCTCCTCTTCCTCATCAGCTGCATCATCAGCCTCATCGTCACTAATGTTGGCAACTTTTTCGATCTCGTTCAACTCTTTTCCATTGTAGTAGCTCTTAATGTTCTCAAAGTTGCTATCAACATTGTTATCATCATAGTAGCTTACTGTTGGTGTTCGAAGCTGGGTTGAGAATGCCATTTCGTCCAGTTTGTACATGAAGCATACCTTTTTATGCAGATAGTTGTATTAGTTTTTTCAAAGAGTATCATTTATATATAAAATATATGAGTAACAAGGTTGAAATGGCCAAGGGAATGGAGACTTACTGTAAGGAAGTGAAGATCTGCATTGACGTAGAACTTTGATGATTTCAATCCTTCATTCATGTGGTTGAAGAAGTATTTGCACCAGTTGTAGCTGGTGAAATGTTTCAGTTCATCAGTCTTCAAGTACTCAAGCATGTTGAGTTCAGCCATAGGGGCTGAAGTTGGGCACAGCAAGCCTCCGGTGACCAGCAGAAAGAACAATTGTAACCATCTCTTACTGTTTGTAACTGTAGAAAGATCTTTTTCTACCTGACTTAGCTTTACCCTTGGAGTGGATTTTCCATCTACTTCCAGTAGGGTTTCTACTGCATAATCTGCTGCGTCGTCCCAAGAAATCGTGGGAGGTACAACTTCCCTATTCCCCATTGGCAGACCATATACCCTATGAAAGTCGATTGGTGATATCTTCATGCGTGTCCCGTCAGGTAGCTTGAAAGATTGTTTCATTGGATTGTATTTGTTCATTACGAACAGTGCAAAATGGTTGTTTATCTTTATCTGCTTGATTGATATTAAGCCTGCTAGGCCTAATATCTCAAGTTTCTCTTTCTGGTCATCTTTTATAGTCATTGCAATTGCAGATATTCTTGTTGGGCTGCACCTTGTGCGAAATTTTTTCTTTGGTTTACCATAGTGTACCTGAATGTAGAAATTAGGAATAGTCTGTTAGCGTGCTTTTTACCATGATATACCATATGGTAATGGTACCATAATGGTTTCCTACCATACCAAATCAAACCATATATTTATCTCATTTTACCATATGGTAATTACATCAAACCATGTCTTATAACATATTACCATATGGTAACGAAGTAAAACACAACAGGACGTATGTTTTCCTCCATTTTTATAGCATGAAACCATAGCTTACCACACATTACCATATGGTAACAAACTAAAACACAGCAGGACTTATGGTTTTTTTGCTATTTTACAAGATGAAACCATAGCTTACCACACTTTACCATATGTTAATAAACTAAAACACAGCAGGACTTATGGTTTTTTTGCTATTTTACAACATGAAACCATAATTTACCACACATTACCATATGATAACAAACTAAAACACAGCAGGACTTATGGTTTTTTGCTTTTTTACAACATGCAATCATAATTTACCACACATTACCATATGGTAACAAACTAAAACACAGCAGGACTTATGGTTTTTTGCTATTTTACAACATGCAATCATAACTTACCACACATTACCATATGGTAACGAAGGAAAACACAGCATGACTTATGGTTTTTTGCTATTTTACAACATGCAATCATAATTTACCACACATTACCATATGGTAACAAACTAAAACACAGCAGGACTTATGGTTTTTTGCTATTTTACAACATGCAATCATAGCTTACCACACATTACCATATGGTAACGAAGCAAAACACAACAGGACTTATGTTTTTTTGCTATTTTACAACATGCAATCATAGCTTACCACACATTACCATATGGTAACGAAGCAAAACACAACAGATTCTACATCAGTTCAGCAACACATGGTAACAATTTGGTAATTTAGCGAGTTTACTACAATTTTCACATGAATAGTGACTGAGATACTGTTTCTATTGTTCTGTGGATGGATTTCGAAGAAAGAAATTAGGTTTTACCTTGATATTTTGTGCGAAAACGATTTTTGAGCCTCGTTGAAGTTGGAAACCCTTCGTTTTTTGACGAAGAAGCGATAACAGTGTATCGTTGAATGATTCTTCGAAAGCCTTTGTGAAAATCCTTCGATTTTTGAAGTTTCTTCTGTGTTTTCTGAAGATTTTGGTGCGCGATTGGATGAAGAATGGAGAGTTAGAGAGCAGAGGGAAGTGGAACTGTCGCGTGAAAGGTGAGAGAAAGAAGGAGAGAAGGCGGGACGGTTGTCGTTGTCACGTCTTGTTTTCAAATTGTCAGATCGAAGATTACTATTTTGCCCCCCCGTGTAGTTACTTTTGCATGATCTGACGGTTGAGAAGATGACGGAATGGATGGTGGATAGGGCGGTTACTGATGGTTACTGAGGTATTGGTTACTGAGGGGATCCGCTCCCGAGTTTATGCATGTCAATGCAGGGATTGTGATGTGTTGTGCAGGGTTGTAAGGGATGAAG